TTTAGGAATGCCCTAAAGACACTGATGAATAGCACTTTCCATGACATACCTTAAATTGTAACGTCCTCCTTAGATTGTTTTCATGCAATGTGGGAAGAAAACGATCTCACAATGGCTGAGATCTAGCAAATATGGGGGATGGCTAAGCTCTGATAATTTTTATTTGTTCAAAATTTATTTTTTACTCTATGCTTTTTTGCAGCAGCGTTTTCAGGTACAGAAAATTACCATAGGGACTGTATATGGCCTTGCTTTGCAGGAAATCTACTTAACTTCCCTGTGTGAAATTGTAACATAAAAGTAACCATCGATAGTCCTTCTTTTGGTTGTAAGTATATGTTTCACTGGACCTCTTGAAAAAAAAGAAAATAATTATAACCTATTTAGAGCCCTTGCTTCTCTTTGCAATAATAGGACGACTTCCATCACTCAAGTTTATCAAATCTTCTTTTTAATGAAAATGTTTATTTTTAAATAGACATTGGCACATTTAACGTGTGTTTTCTCTTAGGCATTTGTAAGGAAATAAGGTACCCGTCTGATAGAATTATTGTTAGATTTATTTTATTTGTCAGAACTCTATAAACTGTTGTGACGATGAAATGTTAATTGTCTTAGCAATATCTATCAATGTAAATCTGAAATTTTCAGATATCATGTTGCACACAGCATCGATTTGTTGTTCCCCTGTAGATTTCGATCGACCAGTTTGACTGCGATCTTTAATTGTACTTTTTTTACTTTTAAATTTCCGAAACTATTTGAAAACTATACAGCGTGAAAGACTAGTCTTTCCACATATCAAAATCATATATTTAATATGGGTTCCTCAGTTATTTTCGTAATGAAGCGTAGATTTCACATACGCCCTCATTCTCCCTTTCTTAGCAAGGTAATTGACTTTTAATCAGTATTCAGCTCAGTATAATGACCATTCTTACTTTAAAAGTGAATTCCTCTGCGAGAACAATAGGAAAAAGTTCGGGGTTTTCTGTGATTAGAAGTTCTTTAATAGAACTATTCAACTGTTTAGAAATAAAATTAAATACATCTACATTTATTATGATAAACTGTATGTTGCATTACTTATTGAATGACCCTCGTACAAACTGTACACAATAATCAACTTCTTGAATTTAATTCGATCATGATAAGGGGTACATGACAGGTGTGACCATTTGACAGGGGTTTATTATCTTTTTACTGTATCAAAATGTAAAACATTAAAATTGAATATTTTTTTTTTCAGATTTATTGAAAAAGCATTTACAAAGCAAATAACAACATTGTCTTTGTTTGTAAGGCTCATTATTTGAATTGTATTATAGAGGAATTAGGATTTAGTTCTGCAAGTGATAACCCGACTTATATCTATAGCTCCTTTCTTAAGGAGGACATTCTTCAAAATCATATGTCAGTTTTAAATATTTTTAATATTCCATGCAATCAAAATGAATTTGAATTACCATACCTATACTGGATTCCAAAACTCCATAAAAATCTTTACAAAGATAAATAGCGGGTTTCAGTAAATGTTACTGAAATATTTACAGCAGTGAGTGAGAAACTTCAGGAGTAGTTAACAACAGTATTTGAGAAGTGGTGTAAATCAGTTGTGGATACTTGAGAACTCCAAGGAACTTTTAGAAATTTTGAATTCACAAATTTTTATCAAAATCAATAACATAAAAACGTACGACTTTTCAACGCTTTATACAACCATTCCACACGATAAATTAAAGTCCAGGCTTTTTGACATCATAAATAGCTGCTTTTAAAAAAAAAAATGAACTCGTAAATATACTTACCTTGTCATTGGTCATTTGCAAAATTATTTTGTTGAAAACATTCTGATTGTACACATAAGGACTCTGAGTTTGATATTAAAAAGATGCTTGAGTTTCTGTTTGACAATATTTGTGTAGTTTTGGGAGATCAGGTCTTCCAACAATCTGTCGGAAATCCCATGGTTACCAATTGCGCCCCTTATTTTTGTATTCATATGAAGCAGAATTTATTTAAACTTCTGCAAGAGAAGAAGAAAACACTTGCTGTGGCCTTCAACTCGACAGTTAGATATAAATCGACGACGTATTATCAATAAACAAGAGTTACTTCCATTCATTTGACGACTCGATATAACCCAGTGAGCTTGAAATACAAGATACCACAGAGTCTGACACATCTTTTGAATATTTTGATATTATATTAGAAAAGACATTAACGGTAACCTAACAACAAAGCTTTGTGATAAACGCGATTACTTCAATTTTTCAATTGTCAACTTCTATTACTTTTGTAGCAATATACCCTTATCACCTGCATATAGGGTTTTTGTCTCCCAGTTGATTCGATATGCAAGGGCATGCTATGCGTATGAACAATTTCTAAAACGAGGCAAGCTATTGAAAAATAAGTTGATGAAACAAGGATATCAACAGTCTCGTTTGAAGTCATCATTTCGCAAGTGTTATGGTCGACACAATGTCCTTGTCAGCAAATAAAACCTATCATTAAGTCAAATGCTGACTGAAGTTTTTCATACTAATTGTTAGGCCATTAATCACACTATTTATATAGTGACCTCTCTGCATGAGTGAAAAATTCTTAAATGGTATGTAAAACAACATACAATTAATCAATTAAGTATGTATATGTTTAAAGTTTATTTTAAACCAACAGTCCTGGTCAGATTTCCTAAAAGGTGTATAGTTAGCTAAACCATAAAGTTAAAGAACTTAAACTCCTTGTTGACAATCATCATTTACAGTTTGTCTGTTTGATGTAAGGTAGTAAGAGAAAAGCATGAATAACGTTTTACGCCTATTTTCTATATAACCCCCCTATCCTCGGTTGAACAAATATTTAGCAAATAGGATGTTAGTAAAGCAGGCAAATTGTAATCTCACGAGACATTATTTGGATCTGAAGATGTCAGTCTTGGGATATGAAAATAAAGTCAATTTCTAATTTTAGCCTATCATTCCATGGCATCAAAATTGAAAAAAGCACGTTTTTGAAAAAAATGTTTTAGTAATAAAAAAAATTCATAATGTTATCATAAAAGATTTTACAAGAACAGAAAATTTCAGAATCTATCTTTAAATATATAAAATAAAAATAAAAATACATGTACTCGTATTAGAATCTTTCATTTTGGTTATCAAATATTTAATTTTATGTTATTTTACGAATACCTATTTGGGGGGGGGGGGGGGCTTAAAATATTTATTTTGCAAAAACTAATGAAATAACATTAATATTCCATTTAAACTTGAATGTGCAAAATTTTTGATATTGTTCAATTCAGATATGTTTAACATTATTTAAGAAGCTGAAGAGAAGCATGCAACTGATGAATGAAAAAAACGAAGATTTCATGCTGATTACAATTAACAATTAATTTTTTTTGAAATCGAGACAGGCTTCTGACAGATAAGCTGATGTTACAGAAATTTAAATAACCTCGTTTAAAGTCAGCACGTACGTAAATTCTATGGTCATTATAATGACTTTGTAAACAAATATAATCTAACATTGGTCGTATTTTTGCCGACGTGTTTCATACTTATTGTTAGGCCTTTGTTTTTATACTAAAGGACAAGGTATGGTAACGGCCGAATCTGGTCCCTTATTTGATGTAAAAATCAGAACACAGTTAAAATTGTGTTAGTTTGTAGTTAGGAACTTAAAATGATGCTTGTTTTAAAACCAGCGCTTATTTTGATTCAAAGCTTACATGAAGGCCACAAGAGGGTGCAGAAGTAGGACATTTTCCCGAATTTCCTCAATTCTGGTGGAATTTCGTCAACTTTTCACTTCGGGAAACATAGAGCACAAGCTTGCCTATCTGAGATTTTTATACATAAGATGCATCTGATGCTAGTGTATGGAATATATAAATTTGGCAGATAGGCAAGCATGTGCTCTATGTTTTCTGAAACAAAATGTGTTGTAAAATCGATGAAAATTTGCATAAAAATGAGAAAATTCGGAAAATGGCATATTTTCCGACCTTCCTGTGACCTCTGTGTATCCCATAAATTAGAACCAATACTTACTTTGTGGCAGGGGTGACAACAGGTTTTTATTGATAAACTGTTGTATCATTCTAAAAGACACCCAAAACCAGGGGCCAAAAATGGGTCTTAGCCTATCCTGTCCTTTGACGAAGGAATTTTCCGTCTACCTGATCAACGGGGGATGGCTTACTCCTCCTCGGCACCTGATCCCGAGCTTCCGAGAGTCTGTGTTTTATGCCCTGGTCACAGATTTGTATAGTTTTAGAATTTCTGAGATCGATCACTGTTCTTTATCTTCACCTTTTTTCATTAATAAGGAGTAAAAATAATAAGGATCTTATACGAATTTTAAACGAATGCTTTACCTTGTTGTCTTAGATTGCTAATAAAGGCAATTGTCAGCAAGACGTGAACATTAGTACCTACCTGTAAATCATTTTATTGTATGTTACAGCTTAGTCTGATTGCTTAGCCTCTATATGTAGACTTTTTTTTTTTTTTTATCTTGAACGACATGGAAAATCATCTTTCCCTTTTTTATTGATTTTTATTGAAACTTATCACCAAGCAATTAACAAAATAAAAAAAATAATTAAAAAAAACATATGCATATCATACTCGTATATGAACAATCGATCAGAAAGCTTGTCTTTATTCAGAAATTCTATCAATAAACAAAATTAAATAGGGTGAACTGGACACAGTGCGGTGTAAAACATGTAAAAAGCAATTCTTTGAATCTAGTAATCTAATATGTTTATAATGTTTTTATGTAAATCGATGGCTTAGAAAAAGCTATACGTAATAGTCTAAACATTCTACATTCATTCTCTGTCTCATGTGTGAATGAGGTGTGAGAAAATATCAATGTTCAAAGGAAATTAACCATAATCAAAAAGAGGTTGAATAAACTGTACATGTAGCTATAAGCATTATGATACTACTATTTTCAACAGGCAAATTTAGCGCACAAAATCTTCACGATTGTATCGGATAAGTTAAAGCCGATTGTACCATCATCCGATAATGTTGGACATAATTGATATAACATTACCCTTGTTTCTCAAAAGTCGTTCATCAAATTCAACCTTGTGTGTTTCACCGTGTCTGACAATAAGACTTTTCAGGTAGGAGAAAGTGCTCCTCATCTTGGATGAAACATTCACCTAACTTGGGATCTTTATGGATTATCAGACGGTCCTGCTGGCGGACTGAAGTTTTCCACCTGTGTCGTCTGCCCTGCTTCATCGTCAACTGGCGCCACTAGAGTCGTCTTTTTGACCTGCGCCTTTTCTACCTTGTTTCCTCCCTCGTCCTCATCGTCCGAGGCCTCTGCGTCCTTATCCTTCTGTTCCTCCCTCTGGATCAACATTTTGCCGAGACTTGAACATGGTATGGTATTGTAGAACGCCATGCGGAACTGCTTGTTAGTACCTACGTAGATTATCGGGTCCCAGATGCAAGCTGATTTTGCAATTACAGCAGGAACTGTCATCAAATACGGTGGAATGTCTTTGGCTTCACCAAATATAGCCCACAAACTTACAACGGAATAGGGAGTCCATGAACCCATGAAGGAACCTGAAATAGGTCTTGAAACATGTCATATGAATAAAGAACCGTTTAAAGGCAGCAGTTTTTAACATCGTCTAAAATATCTTTTTGTAAGAAATAATGACAACGAAACATATTTTTATTATGAAGCCTAAGATCAGCTGTACTAATTATTTTCCTACAATTAGTAGATTTTTTAATTGAAGACATTCTGACTCTCGATAACAAGTAATTGATGTTAATTATGTCACCCCGAACGAAGTCAGGGGACATATTGCTATTGTACGCATGACAACGATGTCCGGGAACTTTCATTTAAGTTTGGTTATGAATTATATAGATAAAAAAACCTTAACTTTTCAGACATAACATTTGATCATATGATTCTATAACAAAACTAACAGAAGAGAAAATATGTTATATTTTAAATTATTTAGAAGATCTAGTAATAATATAACAACGTCAAATTACGTTATAGACTTACGAAATGCGACAGAAAAGAATAGCAAAATGCGGAAAAAGGTTATTGCTACATTATTAAGAAAGTAACTATCTATAGTTATGGGGGGAAATGTTTCGTGTCTAAGAAACGAAAAATTAACTCATTTAAAAAGAAAAAATTCTCAAACAAATTAATCAAGGCCAACATGAGAAGACATTTCGTTTTTCTTTAAATCGATAGTTTGAAAAACTATATTTATATCAAGCTTTCTGTGTATTTTACAAATGTATAAAGGGGAGTGCTCATAAATCTTAAATATAGGTCAGACTGAGGAAATAGGAAAAATGTTTGAATTGAACATTGAGTAATGAAAGACCAAATTCGCTTCAGAATAGCTGACCGACATCACGCAGATAACATTACATACATGTATCTTGTACATGAATGACCTCCCAACCAACCAGAAATATTATATGTTGACAAAAACAGTATAGGAAACAGGTTTAATGTTAAAGGAATTAGCAATTTTATTAAGTTAAAGTGTTTATAAATAAAGACATAAGCATTTAAATATATCATAATTACCTGTTTCATATGCATGTTTGAAGCGTTTAACCTTTGTACCGCTATTTGAAAACAAAATATATATTACTTTTCCATGCAACAAAGGTAAATAAATTAAACAAATGCTATTGTTTAACACCTGCTGCAAGTAAAATAGTGCTAAAAGCTTAAACACGTATTTTCAAGGTAGATATTTCATATTACGCTTACATAACATGTATACTATTGTTCTAAACATCTTCTTTTCGATCCTAAGATTTCTTCTGGCAATTCTACTGCTCATGTCCCACACACCACTTCTAGCCACGTGTCGAATCTATAAATAGAAGCAAAGCAATTATTTCAAAAAAGTCTTTTCCTAGCTTTAATCTTTAGATGATTTCCAAAAAGAATTTATCATTTAGTATTTAGAATGTCTTCTCAGGTCTTCTCAGAGATAATCTTGCCCTGAGAGATTCTCCATCCATTTAATGCTTTTTGCTAGCATTTTTTTCTCCGTCAACATCCCATCCATTTAATGGATTTAACTTTTCTTATATGACTTCAGGAAATAGAAAGTCATGATTTGAAAGTAAGGATCCGTCCTAAATATTGAAATTGCTTTGCGACAGAAAGATCACTAAACTACAAATGTTTAAGACGAGTCTGTGCTCAGTAATTCCTTTTCTATTATTAATTTCCTGAAAGAAAGTTCATTACTGCCCACCCTTTTTCTGTTAAAGATAAGATATTAAAATGTTTGGAGGATGAATCAGATACATACGGATGAAGAACCCTCTTAATACCCTGAACATTTCTGTTGTTTAGTAAAGAAAATGTAAATGAGCAACACATATTTGATAAGTCTTTTATGTAATGTAATTCTTGTTGGTAATACTTTAAGGTGAAGAGCAAGTGCTTATTGATTACAGTTAAACATTCTTATAACGAAGTGCCATGGACGGACGATTTTGCTTTATTATAAACGTTCATCGTTATTCCTTTAAGTTCATATTATATTTTAAAGTCACAGGGAATGAAAATCACTTCGCTGTAAGCGTCAATTCTTCATAAGCCTCTTCGCTATAAGTGTTTTTACTGTAATATAATTGGAGTTGTATTTATAAATTGAAAACGTTTTGATAAGTTGCCAATATCTACATGAATAAAACCATTTTCGTCCTATTTTGGTTATATCTCTTTCAAGTGATGGACGTTTTGCAGAAGTTAGATATTAACTATCAAACATAAAACTAAAACCAAAAAATGCCATCAATTCAATCATGATACAAGAGCCACAAATCACAATTTTTAAGAGACATGAAATGAACAGAGCACATTTTCATTCTGGACATTATTCAGCTATGTGTTCAATATTAATACAGATGTTGCTGCTGTTATATGTCTATAATAATCTGTAATAATCTCTCATCTATATTGCTAACACAGCGGACTTCATTTTTCAAATTGCCACACCCGCTTGCGCAGATCTCCGTCCATTTGCAAGTAAAAATGTCCTTACAAACCTGACATTGATTAATGTTAAAACATAATAGATCAGTAAACAGACCACAGGTTTTTGCTAGGAGAGACACATAAAATATAAATAGGAAGTTATCACATTGGACTTTAAATGACAGAGGTATTCGATTAAAAGTAAAAGACTTTTTACAGCTATATTTTTTTTAATGCTGTTTATTAATTTGATAGTAAATTTTCAAATAATAATTTATTATTTAAAAATCATAAGCAAAAGGAAAGAGTATAGCTTTTACCAATAGAAAATGAAATACGTAGCCAACAAAAATGTTTGAAAAACAAACGCAAGAGCATTGCCAATCTGCTTAAACAAAGCACATAGTCTAATTACAGACGGCTGATGTCTATTCTTGACTAAACGGACTGATTGTCTGTCATATATGACCTACTAGAGATTAGAAAAATCTATTTCATGGATTTATTTCATTAAAGCCTACAATTCTTATTACTGTAATCTTTTTGTAGCATTAACAAAACGTTGTGATCAAACACAGACAATTAGCCGTTATTACGAATCAATTCCGATTAAAGCGAATAAAAGTCACCGCCAATGCTTTTAAGGGAGCAACTTTTCAATTAATTGAGAAAACAATAACACAGAAATATTTGATTAAAAATGGCATACGGACGTGATTTTTACTGAAAAATCTGGTGCTGAGAAATGGCGTAAATTGGAGAAGTTGTCAATGTATGCTAATTTTCTCCACAAAACTCAGTAGGCATTGTTTAGGAACAGTTAGATCCCTGCTGTTAGAAGGAAAAATACCATTAACAAAACCCTCTAATTGTATGGTCTCTGTCGTATTTTAAGTACCAAACACGAGATATACATACGACTTAGACACAGGGCCGTTCAATACGTCGAATATTCTTCCAATAAAATGCCTGGCTCCATTTTGTGAGTTTTGCAAATGTGTAAAAGGTTAAAAATGATGCTCATTTTGTGGAATTTACAACCTAATTACTGAAGAACAATATAATTCTCAAAATTAAAGCTAGCTTTTCTTTAGTTTACCACAGAAATAACCTAAAATTATCTAATGTCTGTGACGATAAGGAACATTGATCAATCTCACAATCCAGTAAGCAAAAACTAAAAAGGATATAAAGCAAGGACCCCTAAAAACACCAGAGGTGGGATCAGGCACATAGGAGGGGCAAGTATTCCCTGTCGCCTGTCACATCCGCTGAGAGCCTAATGTATTGAGGAGGTACACGGAGTAGCAAAATTTAGTATAAAAGCAATAGCCTAACAAATGCATCAGATAAAATACAACCCAACGATAGGTTGTATTCATAACGACCGTGACATGCGCTAAAAGCTGACTTTAAATGGGTTTGCTGAAATTCTTGAAACATCAACTTACTTGTCAATAGCTTAACTTGGTTTGAAAATTGTTTGTATTCAGAGCAAACTCTTTTGTGCCGAAGTAGTTTGGTAAGATAAACACTAATGGTGATGATGGAATATTGCTATATAAATAAGGACAACGGATGCTTGAAATGCAATTAATAGAAAAATAAATAGAAATGAAAATAATAGTCTAAAAAATCTTAATGATATTCTTTAGTAAATGTTATCTTGCAATATGCTTATTATTTTTATCTTTTAAACTTACCGTCATAAAAACGTTGTAGTAGGAATAAAAAATCAACATTAATGGAAAGAATAAACTCCATATAAAAATAGAGATATTATAGCTTGCTGATTCTATATCATTCGTATCCCATCGCACAGAACAGGAAGTTCGCGCTGGCTCATATGTGTAGCTTCCCCAACCCAAAAATGGAAACGCTGCCCAACAGAACCCTTGAAACCAGATGGCAAGGCAGGCTACAACAGCGACTCGCGTTGTGATTTTGTTTGCTTGGAGAGGCTTGGCTATGACAAAGTATCGGTCGAAGGAGATACCCATGAGAGTGTACATGTTGGTAAGTCCCATGAAGTACATCCAAAAACCCTCAAACGTACAGACGCTGTCACCCCAGAAAAAGAAGCGATTGAAATGGGCAGTCATAGAGATAAAACTACAAATACTCATCCCAAAGTCGCCAAGCAACAAGGAGATTATAAATGTATTTGTTGGAGATCGAAGGTTCTTGTTTTTGGCAAAAACAATCAAACCTGTAAAGTTCATAAAGGATCCAAATATAAAGACAAACAAAAGTCCTGATCCTATGATATAATACAGCGGGATCGGTATCAGGTACTCTACGGGTTGGATGTCCACAACGTCCGATCTGTTCGTTCCATTCATTTTCTTCAAAAAAGAATCCTTATTTGGAGATTCTTAAAGCTTAGTCCCTATGGATCAGATCTGATGTCAAATGAATAAATTCATAAAAAAAGCCTAACCGAAGTTATACGTTGATCCCCTGATTTCTCGGAATGGAAACGAAGGGATATTCAATCTATTTATACATGACTATCTGCGGTTCCAGAAACAATTCATTTGGAGACACGCAGCTTCTTCAGAGTCGGCTTTCCCATTATTACTGTGTGTCTTTCGCCAATATTAATGAATTTCATTGTATTAAAGCGAAAAATATTTGAAGCGAGCTAATGAACACTATCCAGAATTGAATTTATCCATATACTTAATTTATCTTCTTGTAAAAACCGCGCCCTTCAATTCCACCTCACCTGAAACATGAATATACTGGCTGCTCATCCCTAGAATAGTATAATGATATTGCTATAGAGCTCTCATCACTTTATGTTAATGTGTGAGGGATATAAGAGACAATTCCATTGATTCTATTTCGCAGAATTCATTTCGGCTTCAAATTGGTGAGAGAACAGTACTGATGTCGTAGGGGTATTTACGACTTAAATTTTTTATGATCTGTCAATCTTTTACATTCTTTTTGATTGACATTCACATCAACAGGTTTGAAATTGATTAAATTCTAAATTCTATTAAGTTGTTCATTGACTTCTGTAAATATTAGACTGTATCAAAGAAAAAGTTTTTGTTAAGTACTGGTGAAGTCATGTTTACATATAATAAATACCCTTACTTCAACAAACTTCTTGGGGTAAATGAAGTCAATCTAAGTGTGAATGTACATCTAGCCCTACTCAGTGTTAATTAACTTCGTAGTAATAATTTACATCTAGTTTAAAATTCATTAACGGGGATAAAATTTGCATTTGCTTTTTGGGAGATTCATATAGGAGAAAACGCTTTTAAGTAAAGAAAAAACACATAAAATTTAACAAAAGAAAGTTTAATAAAATCAATTATTGACAATTTTTTTTACAAGATTAAAAAAGTTTACCAAAATCTTTTATCACGAATATTATTGTTTATTGTACTTTATTACATTCGAGTTGTAATTTTTTGTTTTCAGAGATTATTGGTCAATCTATATGGGCTTTGAAATAAAAAAAAACTGCAAACAGAAATTTGAAAAAAGATCACATTTAATATTGTATAATTCCTATTGACCCTCAAAGGTAATAAATTTAGCAGACGAGTAAAATGGATTAAACGCAGATTTTACACCAATAAAAAATGGACAAACGTAAACCATATGTGATGATCTTATTTATAATAAACTTAACACTGACGCCAAAGTCCTATTTATTAAACCTTAGAGCATCGCAGAGAAATTCACCAAACCTTTTCCTTACGCAACTTAAGACCATCTGAATTTAATACAAATACGGTATACATTCTTACGCCACAGGAAAGAAGAAAGAAAACCGGAGAAGGGGTTTTCACAATAAAGACTATGTTTCACCAAATTTCTATGATAATGACTCTCTCATACTTGCATTTTTTTTTCTCAACCTAATTACATCAAAGAAACTTCAGTAAATACCAATCATGAATGTGAGAGAAGAATAGATACTCTGCATCTTTAAAAATTCCCCCCAAATATCACATCTTCTATTTTACAAAAAGCATAAATTCTAGATAAGGACACCATTGAATTAAATAAAAAAAAATGAAAATAACGAACATTAATCGATCTAAAAAATCTACAAACAATTCAAATTTATACACAGGGCATTAAACACGGAAATTCCAGAGGTGGGATCAGGTGCCTGGGAGGAGTAAGCATCCCCTGTTGACCGGTCAATACCTGCTGTGAGCTCTGTGTATTTATCAGGTAGACGGAAATTTTGTGGGAAAGAAGATTGGCGTATTTAGCGTGTTATCTGCAGGTATCATCTGTACGAAACATTTATAGTTTAAATGTAATTGTTTACTACACTGTATAACGCAATAATGCTTCACATAAATAATAAACACCTATAAGATAATAAGGGTGTAGTTAAATGCAATTACAAGTACATTAATTTTGTATATTAAAGTATTAGTATGTTGGAACAATTAGTTTCGCTCTAGTTGCAACACAGCCAGAAATTATCCATTTTAAATAAAAACAGTACATAAAATCAAACTGATAAAAGAATTGATTGTTTGCATTAAAAAAAAAAAATATTTTTCGCTCCATGTAAGGATCGAACAAAAATTTTTCGATTCAATTGCATTGGAAGTGTAACGCTTACTACTGAGCTATCATAACTACATAAACAAAATGGATTTTATAACGACATTGAAGCAGCAAATTTAGACATTGGATTTTTTTTTCCAAAAAAGTTCATTTTTATGGTCTCTGGGTTTTCTTTCTATTCTTAACAAATGTTTGTTTGTTTCTTTGAATTAAAATAAAATTAAAATTAAATTAAATTTGAATTAAAATGTAACATCAGTGTGAATTATCTGAGCATCGTTCAGGTGGTATATAGGTGATATAGGTATTTAGAAATTTGGAAAAATGACTCCAGAACACGTTCAATCATTTGGAGATACATACGTTGATTTAAACCAAATTCTTTCGTAAATATTAAATAGGCTTAGACCGAACCATTTTTTTTAAAAAGTACGTTGGTTTAAATTGAACTATTTCGTAGACCTGAACGTTGGTTGAAACTAAACCGTACTAGTATGCTGGTTTAAGGCTCATTACACCTACAGTTTATTTTAGATTTCATTACAGCAGCACTTATAATGTGGAGGTTATGATACCATGAAGATTTTTTAGTGAATTTTTCAACTTTTTTTCTGATTTTAGTTAAATGTTTTATTTCAAGTTTATTATTAATAGAATTACAGAAATTTTAGTGTCAAGTGATGGGCATATTCGTAGACATGTACACAAAATGACAATATTCAATTCTAGTTTTATTAGAACAAGCTAATTCAGAGAATTTGTGTCCCCCGCTTCGGGAAAAAAGAAGAGCATGCACAGTTCGGGGTGGGGTGTCGGACTCCCCCCCCCCCCCCCCCCCGGATTTGTAGAATTATTAAATGTATACATGTATATTGAAGCAAATAAAAAATGCCAATATTGATATAAAGATTTGATTGCCTATTCTTTAATATGTGAATGGAAGATTCTTTGTATATAGAATATTTATCACGCTGTAATAATGATTTTATGAGTTTGTACAAGCCAGACGTCATAACTTTTTCATTTCACATGCTGTGCTGAATACTGTCATTTAGTAAATCCCCCAAAAAAATTCAAAAAAAAGTTTCGCACGGGATTTGAACCCGGCACCTCTCACGTGATAAGCGAGAGTCATTACCCCTAGACCACAGATGCACTTGATTTTGTAGCAAATTAAATGCAAACAGTAGGTCACTTATAATGTTTATATTCACGTTCGATATTGTCAAAATTTTACACAACACATAGTGTCTAATTTAGCCTTTACTAAACAGTTCTAATAGATGTAATAAGAATATAAAGTCCGCCGACAACCTGTATCATACGTTATAACTCTCCACATGCCCCTGTGCTAAAAATAGTGTCAAGCGACTTTCAATACAATAAATTATAATTAAAAAAAAAAAAAAACGGGGCGGGACACTTTGAGAGAGGCCAGAGAGACCCTATGGAGTTATTCACGTTCGATATTGTCAAAATTTTACACAATAGATAGTGTCTAATTTAGCCTTTACTAAACAGTTCTAATAGATGTAATAAGAATATAAAGTCCGCCGACAACCTGTATCATACGTTATAACTCTCCACATGCCCCTGTCACGGCCAGGAACACGTTAAGTTCCTAGACAGTACCGTTGTCAGAAACCTTTAAAGTCAAGCACTGAAACTGGTTCGTTGTCATGAACATACAGGTGAGGTTATGATAAAATCCGTACGGTGTCATGCAAAAGATACAACATAATGCCTAAATTTTAACGTTTTTGACAAAATCTAAGAATAAATTTGAATTTTGGGAAACAGATACAACATTCAGTATTCCATACAAAGATTTATGTATTTGATATCCACAATACATTTTGAGGAGTTTTGGTTGGCGATCACATGCCCATGTGTGAAGCCATGATCGTGAGCTTGAAAATTATATATTTCTTATATTTAATTCATCGAAATGGTTCTTTTATTTTAAAATATGAAGAGAAACTTCATTTTCAATGTATTTGGCAACTGACAGCTTTTTGTAGCTAACATGTTTTAAGAAATCGCAATTTATAAGCAAAAAGTCCGTTGTCAGTACATGTCAAGTTTATTTGGTCCGGTGTCATTTTTCTTAACATGTAAGTAAATCAATAAAATGCAACAGAAATGATCAAATATATGCTTTATTTTAAAAAAATACAAAGCATATTACAAATATATTTGAATCTCGGGGTCGTCTTAAAGCAGCTCACACCAACGTGCTAACTATTCAGCGATGTTTTTATTTTCAATTCATTTTCTCTTAGGAACCTTCATCCTAGCTAGTATGCAAACATATACAATTCCTTGTATATCATCAGTATAACAAAATTAAAATGTTATGCTTAGGTCACATTTAAGCCAATGGTCGGGCGACCAAATTATTTTCGTATCGTCGGCTGAAAAAAACATGATCGGCCGACACTAGTATCGGGCGACGCAGAGTAGTCACATTAATTCCTAGGAACACCGATACCTTTAAAAGTAAAATATATTTATTAGTTGGCCAACCGTCGCCCGATCATCGTTCGCTAGTCCGCAGTTTGATTTTCATCTTAGGTCGACAGTTGTACGTCAATTCCTAAATGTCGACCGACATGCCGATGATGGAAGGTTGGTGGACGGACTATTTAGTGAGTGCTTCAATTGAATCGGCCACAGACGCAAAAAAATAATAATAATAACTTGACCCGACTGACATGCATAAAATTGACGAAAACATGACGAAAAATAAAAATCGGGCAAGACAACGGCCGATAATATGAAACTTATGTGGAAGCATCCTCAGATAATGTAGATTCA